TTGGCTTTCGTTGTTTTTGTTTGACCGGAGAAAATCTGGCAAGTACGCATGGCGCCGCTACTGTTTTGGTTTGACGGGACGCGAGAAGCTTCGCATAGAGCTTCGGAGTTTGCGAGCACACAGTGAAGACGTGATTGGAGAAGTGCCCCTGTGATGTTCCTGGAAGACGGAAAGTAGCATTCGTAATTGTCGTGTGTGCTTTGAAAGCGAAGGGAGTCACAGGGTCCACGAGTTCGCAACCACAAGCCAAGGTTCACGACAGCGCGGCGTTGACTTCGGCGATCTCGTTCTGTTTGGTGCAACCCGGCGATGCGAAAAAGAGCTGAAACATTCGTCGTGTGTGGTGCGGTGCTTTGTATTGCGGGTCTGTTTGAACCACGCTTTTAACACGGAGCGCAAATTGTTTGTTGCGTGGTGGAGGTTCAACGGGTACAGTCCCGTCGTCGTCAGCTGATCCGGTCCAGCTGGTCCGGGAGGACGCAGCGAGCGTTTTTAAAAGTAAATCTTCCCTCGTTCCGTTTCGAACTGTGGAAGTATCCCGACACATACCGTGAGTAAGAAGCAGCGGGCGTTTTCAACAAAATTACGTTGTTTTAATTGAATAATGGACTCCGGATTGTTGTCTTAAATCTGCCGTTTCTTATGCTTCGTGTTGGACTGCGTTTGCATAGCGACGCACACCGCTCGAGTATGATTCGGTCCTGCAACGAGTTTGTTGCGGCAATCATGCGGCGTGAATAAATAAGGGCAAGTTTTCCTAGCTGCCCACAGATGCATGTACTGAGACCATTTTTTATGTTGTGAACGTAGTGCTCTTTCTTTATTTTGGAAGACGCGTTGGTGCATTTATTATGGTACAATCACTTGAGAGTTGAGAAATTAGAGAGCGAGCAAGCTTTCTCAACTTTGTCTCTTTCTCTCTGGCACTGCCCTGTTTGAGTTTCAGTAGGGATATCTACTAGCAGGTACAAACTGCTCTAAAGCAGGTAAAAAACGGGAAGCTTAGGACGGTGCGGACTCCGTGTTTCGCGCTTTTCGCAAGGTGACAGGGTAAATGCTTTTGTGAGATATGCGGAATATGCAAGCGATTTTGTTACGCCCGTCGTTTGCGTCTCTCCAGCAAAACGAATAAGATGATCTACTACAAAGGCGCAATCACAAGCCAAGATTTAAGATAGCAGTCGTTTGCTTCGGTGATCCGTGTAGCTGTATTTTACCCTGCTCTCTGCAACACCGTGTCATGACGAAGAGCTGGAATGGTCACGGTTTGTGCTGGCCTCCCGGTTGACAGAAACCCGCGTCGCCCGCATCGGCACCGAGTGCGCTTGGGCTGTTGATGCTCCAGCCTTTCATCCGCGGCTTGTCGCCAGCTCATCCTGCTGCTCAACGGTGAGGAAGCGGCGAGAGTAACCTCGGAAGTGAATGTAAATCCTCGTTCATTCAGTTATCCGGTGTCAAAGTGTGGAAGATGTCCAACGTGTACTGAGGGCGGGAACTACGAGGGTTTTGCCTTGCTTTTATAACCGAAACCAGAACAACAAGATAACTGCCTTGCGTACTCTAAAATGACGGAAGCAATAAGTTTCAACAGGTCGAGTACGTCACCGGGGATGTAGGCGAGACGGTGCACACTGTTTAAACGCTTGCAGTATCCACGAGTGGTACCAGGAAAGCGACGTCAACAGAGAAGGAGCTCGCGATTCAGCATAATACACTGCTACGGGCCCGTGTATCTTCAAAGTTCGGGGTGGTGGCAGTATAAAAAAAAGACGCATCAGCGCCCCACACCAGTGTTCACGAATAACACCGGTCACAAACTCCCAAGCCCCACCGCTCTTCTCGACACCGACACGACATACGACAACAAACTGCATCAAAACGCCCCAAAAGTGAAGGCGTCTGCTCCCGTACTGCAACTGCTGCAACTAGCGGAAGTGAAGTGTTGGGCGGATGTCCGGATGTCCTTCACGGAAATATATAAAAAATGCTTTGCGCAAGGATGATTTTCATTTATTATTGTATACGTAATGACAAAATCCCAATAATTTGTTTTTCTATCTGATTCATGCTAGTCGGACTGCTCATAACACTGGTCAAGCAAGAAAATAACTTTTTCATGACCGGTTTAAGATTTATTGTTAACATATCATTATTTATTGCAACGGACTAGCATTATAGATTTTGCCTCCATACTTTTTAAATGCAAACCGTTTTAACACACGGCTGTCCATTGCGCCGTGTTTTGTGTATTCTTCTATAAATCTGTACTGGTCAGCGACCAAGGAGCTCACCCGCACATGTCAAGCTTATATGCGCCGCGGGGAGAAATGGATATCGAGTAGGAAGTGTCGGGCGCTGTGTCGGTTGTTGTGTTTGTGTATATGTCGGTGCCGTGTAGCTGTGTGCTCTGTTGCCTGCGTTGTATGTAGGGTTGCTGTGTGGCCGTGGTCGTTCCCAGTGTTAACAGACTCGTCTTTTTTTTTAAAACAGGCTGCTAGAAATCTCGATAGGTGGCGCAAGTTACCGCCCGATTCTCAATAGTTTGCTCAAGTTATTTATCCATGTGAGTTCGGCATTCGCTTTTTTCTTTTTTTTTTTTTGTCTAGCGGCTCGTTGAAGCTATGCGGAGGGCAAGTTCGTCTGCTTCTTGCGCAGGGGGTAGCGGTGACGTCAGAACGCCGAGCCCTGATTGGCTGATCGCGGCCCCCCTATCTGAGCGTCGTCTGCTCCTTTGCAACGTCGTCTGCTCGCAACGTCGTCTGCGTCTGTCTTACCTTTCCTGCGACTTTCGGAAGTGCAGGCGACGATCTTACGCCAAAAATGTGCGTAAGACATAACTTAAGAACAAATCCGTATTCACGACACGAAATTTCCGTAAGTTTTGCGCAGGTTACAACGAAATCCTACGACAGCTCCGAAGCTGTCTTACACACTTCTCACGATCAAATGAGCATGGCCGACTGCGTCGCGGTCGCGATGACCCACGGACGTTTATTTTTCTACGTGCGCTTCTCACGCGTCCTGACTTCAAGCAGCAAGAAAAAAGTAAAAAGTACTTGAAACAGACCACGACGAACAAGAACGCTGGATCCACAAACACCCGGGATAAGCTCCAACAGCCACGATTCCACCGAACGCGACCAACCGAGCACGGCAGTTAGGCCTAGCAGGCAATCCGCGACTCGGCGACCGTCTGCCCACGACCGGCTGGTGTGCTGAATGGAATATGCCCGTGCGACCATTGTGAACCCTTCCCGTATTATACTTTGACCGCTGACCTCAGTTTTAGATTAAGAGGTCAATTTCTTCCTCTTGTTATCTCCTTGTTTCCCGAGGCAACGGTGACTCTCGCCGGTGAAAAAGCGGTGAATCTCCCACAGACGCGGGAAAGGTAAAGCAGTCATCGCTTTGACTAGCAGACGTAAAGCAGACGACGTTAACTGCGCCAACCCGCCGACGCCGTTAAAGAATGAAGGGTCTCGCCGCCCACGAAAGGAGCGAAAAAGTATTTGGGAGGGAACTTGCGGACACTAACACGCTCACCTCTCGGTTCTTAGCAAACAAACCTCGACGCTTCGGGACACCTCGCCAGTGAGTCATTTGACTTCCCTCCTTGATGCGCGTCTGCTAGTCGTTAGACAAAAACAACGTTCCGAAGTCGAGCTCGCTCGTAAAGACCTGCACTTTCGAAAGTCGCAGGAAAGGTAAGACAGACGCAGACGACGTTGCGAGCAGACGACGTTGCAAAGGAGCAGACGACGCTGGGATAGGGGGTCGCGATCAGCCAATCAGGGCTCGGCGTTCTGACGTCACCGCTACTACCTTTCTCATGCGCAGAAGACGAAAATGAGCCCACTTGCGAGGCGTATTGACGCCGCCGGCCGCCGACAACACACGTACGTACCTTTGCAAGTAGCTACGTCCGCCGCTTGGAGACTTTACTGTGTATAAAAGACATCGAACGAGAACTAACGCGCCCTGTGTGCTTTCAATTCGGCTGAAAGGCGCGCGGCTCGCTGGGCTCGTCTCTCGTCTGTTCTCGGCCGCTGGCCGCCATGCTTCATAAGGAACACGCTCGAAACGGTTTTGCGGAAGGCAGACACGGTGTAGCGTGTTAAGTTTACACAGCACCTCATGAGTAGACGAAAAACACAGATGGCCTCGTGTAAAACGAACACGTTTCGACGTGTCCGCTATGGGACAACGGTTTACACGTCTGGGCGTGTTATTTTTGCTAACAGTGTAGGCACTCGCATTATGCATAAACAGCGTGTAAGCAATTTGGCCAGCAACAAGACGACTGACGGAGACCCGCTTCGTTGTAGACTCGGTAACTCGCGCTACGGGGAAGACCGCATGAAAGCGACGGGAGAAAGCGACCAAGGCGATGAGAGACGTCTTCTAGAAATAGAAAAACCGAGCGACGCGAAGAGCAACAGAGACAAATCTCCGTCGCTCGTCGCTGCTGACTCTCGCCTCTGTCACTGTCGCTCGTCTCGTCCTCGCTAAATCGCTTACAGGCTGCTCAGCCTTTAACGAGCACGTCAGATCAGTGTTCATTCACCACCTCATTCTATTTGTCCAAGGTCGCCTGCTCAGCTGACACTAAAACCATCGCCGCTACACCCCGATTCCTTGCCGGACAGTGAAAATAAACACCGTATCCGAGAAACATATTAAACACCACCTCAAATGAAAAAAGAAAAACATCCCCCAAATTGATTAAACAAAAATTCCGATAACATTAAACCCACGTTATGAGCCACCGGAGCATCCATGCTCCTATATCTCGCGCGAATGTACTCCTTGAACTGCTTGCCACGCTCCATATGAAGCGCGTATGTTCCACTGCCTCGAAACGTTAGAAGACGTAAGCTCCCGTAACATAAAGCAACGTAAAAAAAAAGCGGTATACTCTGTGAAACGATCTGAACGGCCATGGGGTATTGGGCGGTGTTTTTTCCATGATACGCAACGGGAACCAGGCTCTAATAACTCACAGTCTCGCCGTGATTGCGGCTGCTGTCTCCACTCCCTCGTAGTGACCGTCGTCCTTAACAAAGCCGTACTTATGTTTGGTGCACACGCCTCCTCGAACAGCATACTCTGCGGTGCAAAGCAGAAAAATTTCAGTAAGCAGTTTTCTAGAAGTATTTACACATTCCTTGAAATTAGCATTCAGGCAATAGTCGGCTCATATTAGTGGCTTAAAAAAAGACGAATACCTGACAAGACTGACTCGTTCGGAAAACATGACAATTTGTGCAGAATAACGGGTAATACAATATGTTTTTCATTACTGTAGTGTCGAAATGAACGCCGTCGTTAACGATCGCTTATATACTGCGAGCGTGAACACAACCGTCACCAAACATATAAAGAAAAATGCTAAGACACCTCACAGGAGGGTTTAGTGAAGTAATCTGCAAACAACCGTTCACAACACAAGCAGGGAATGCAAAACGTGTAAAACGTTGAAAATGTTACTTATTGTGGTCAGATGCCACGACAGCCGAACTGCCCCTCTCAAATCTTGACATGGCATCTAAATTGAAAATCACGCCCTCCTAGAGAGCTGTGTAAGGGCGCCGCAAGAACTGTCCTCTATTTCTGTTTTCTTTCATTCTGCTCGCTTCGCTACAGAACCGTGTTCGCACGACAAGCTGTTGACCTTCTATTTATCACAATGTTCTTGTCGTCTATAGTCGGTGACAGGTTAAGAGTGAAATGGGAACTCCTCCCACCTTCTTACAGTTTAGCAGAGCGAACGCTTGAAAGGAGGTCACCTCCTCTCCAGCGTTCGCTCTGCAAAAGTGGAAAGAGGTGGGAGGAGCTTCCACTTCACTCTGAACCTGTCACCGACTATAGACCGTTCTCGCGTGACGGTTGCCATGACGTAGTTTGGTTGGGCGACAAAAACTAAAGCCAATAGTTCAAGCATGCCTATAGGTATGCTTGAACTATTGGCTTTTTATTGTATACAATAAAAAGGTATAGCCAAGAAAAAAGTAGAGCACATGGCATGCACCCCTTTATTTCTAGTGTATATTAATCGGCAAATAAACTTATTTGATCTTTTGCCCAAACCCAGGTACGTTCAAACGTATCTGAGTTTGGGCATTCAACATGGCGTCCGGCAGAAAAAAACGCTCCGTAGATTTTTTTTCTTTCGTCCTCAGTCACGAGGGTTCGTATCTGGTATGCGGGACGAAAAAATAATAAAACATTGCAACCTGGTATATGTGAGAAAATATATATGTGAGGCAAAACAAGAATTTCTGACAATCAAGCATTTTTCGTAAACACCTTCCAGCGGCGTGGAGAGATTAAACCTATGTTTTAACGTATGCCGGATGTAACGACACTGAAGATGGCTGCACCCGTGTGGAAAAGGTGTATAGACAAGCTTTGCGTAGATATATATGTTCCTGCACATTTCGTTGGTTCGGCATCTCGACGAAGCAGCAGAAAGTCAGTTATGGCAGCGCAAGTTTGGTGCCCGTGAAAGGCGTCTATACTCGTCGTCTAAAACTCTAATAAGGGCTTCATCGAAGGTACAGTCTTCAGCTCACACATATCAACACCATGGGTGAACTCACCCCTACATTACTGCCGCTGGTGCCACCATTCGATTCGCACCCTCCCCCTCATAAGACATGTAAAAGGGGCAGTGCCCAAAAAAGCGAAGCTCCGCCCACACAGAACAATGACGTTGAGCCCATGGTCCCCTCCTGGTAAACCAGTGCTCAGTGACAAGCGATAAGTATCAACGCTCTGATAATTTCATTAAATTACGAGTACTTATTATATAGGGTGTCTACCATAGATATTGGCACTGCAAAACAAGTTGGAAATGCACTCGCCTGAACATCGAACTCTCAAACTTTCAGCGAATGTACAGCTGCAGCAGAAAAAGATTAGCACTACTGAGTACTGACCGATGACCGGAGCGACAAAATCGCGACACGCGGCGCTATTCTTCTCGAGCGCGCCGATAGCGAGAGTGCCAGTCACGTTCCAGGGTTCAACGCGGGCGTGGCCGGCAGAAAATTGAGCTATAAGGTAGCTTTCGAAATGCGGACTTTAGTATGGGCTGCTTTCTGCCGGCCACTTCCGCGTTGAACCATGGAACGTGACTGGCACTCTTGCTATCGGCGCGCACGGGAACAATAGTCCCACGTGTCGCGATTTCGACGCTTCGGTCATCGGTCACATGTGCTAATCTATTGCCGCTGCACCTGTACATTTAGGTGGTGCATTTTGCCAAGTGAAAGCATGAATCGTGGTCATGATAGGCCACGCCTAGCGTTTCTTAAGCTGACGGTGAATATATCACTGATATCTGTTGTAGTGAGCTTGGTCGCGGATCGAATCTTGTTTTGCTGGGGTCGACCTGCACCTCTGGCAGCCGTCACTTGATAGAGGAAGTGAATGCATGGGACTCTAAAGGAGAAAGGGGGAAAACTGCAATTTCTTACCTTAGTAGGTTGTTCTCGACGATGAAACTTTTACATCATTATTTACATCCGAAACTGGGGCAGAAGGAGTAAATACTTCACACTGGAAGAGAAAGTAACAGGGGCAGACAATGTTTGTCCCAGCAACTTTCTCTTCCACTGCAAAAAAAAAAAAAAAGATCCTGCTTCTGCCCTGATCTTGGGTTGGAATTGTCATGGTAAACTTCCAACAGCTCGCCTGCACACTGATAATTTTGTGAAACTTTTATCTTGTATTTCGGAAATGACAGTTAATATTTTGAGCACTGTAGTGTTTGGCGGTTTGTGGACCGCTATCTGAGCATGACCATCGCGTGGAGAGTCTCGTGAGTTACTCTCTACATATACATACTCAATTTACACAACAAATAAGCGTTACCGCACAATGCATCTGTTATTCTATTCAAGCTACCCTTGGCCAAGGCTACATTGTACGCATTCATACTAAACATGTACTTTTCCGAAACAAACTAGGTAATTTAAACGTTTAAACTAAAATAAATCCGTCTCCAGGTTGGTCACTTCCATCCAAAACACAGAAGTGCGAGTTACAGACTCTAGTCTCCAAATCGCTCCGGAGGTCGGCGGTTTCGTTTTGATCGGCAAGGAGCATCACCTTGTATAGACCTTTCCAGCGGCAGTCTCGAACGAAGCGATTTACAGCGCGCGTCCCTGGTTTTGAGAGTGTACGTCAGTGTTGCCCGACTGCGCTGAGCTGTGGAGTTTCTCGTCAGTGGGCTGGGGCAGCCTGCGTAGGCGCAATTTCGGACGCTGGTAGCGGCTGAATCGCCGCGTTTTCTTTTTTTATTTTGTGTTCTGTGGCGAACATAATTTATAGAGGTATTTAAGAAAGCAGTGCTCTATTTTTGGGAACAAAAACAAAGAAATGAAAGCTGTTTTGGTGACTCCGTGCGCGACAGAACAAATGCAACTGGAATGTTTGTTTCATTTTATGTTCATCGTTTTACGGCACCGTACACTCAGCCGTGTCAATCTATATAGGTCAATATATTTGACCACAAATAATAGCCAAATGGTATGGGCATTCCCCGCTCACAAGATGAAATTCAACGAGTCTGATCAATCGAACAACATATATTGTACGTACCCCACGGTGCCGCGTTATCCGAACAGGATTTGAGAATGGTCTCAAATAACACATAATATCCAATATACAGTGTCGACGATAGTCACTTCACGACAATCGGACGGAATCCGGCGTGTTTTGGGGAACATGTAGAAGAGAGCAGCTTTTTTGCACAGCTTCAAAGCAAATGAACGAACGTGTCTATCCCGTCCCCACACCCCGGACCCGACCCCATCAGCTATTTTTCGCGAAAACCCGGAACACAGCCGGGAAGGCTTTTTGGAGATTATCTTGACGGAAATAATCCTCCAAGCACGTCGAAGTGCCTGCGTCGCGGGCTGCTTGACGTTCGCTCTCTTCGTTCGTTTCCGGCGAAGGCCGAGCGGGCTGCGAGCCCTAGTATTCCCTGGTTCTCACAGTGGAAGATAACATACAAAGGGTAAGCATCCTAAACAGGCGAATAAAATAAAAACTTCCAAGAAAAGCCGCCGAACTCCGAATGCAAAATGCAGGTGGGGAGTCCAGGCTGACCGGGTTTCCACAGCTCAGGCGGGTGCCAGAAATTTCTGGCTGATAGGGGTCGCTCGATTCACAAAATAACGGCGGCCAGAGCGCTCTTATTGCAAAGGTCTATAGCTTGATCAGATCCTCTCAGACCATCTGGAGACGCCACATCTTCATTCAACAAAGGTTCCTGGCAAACTGGGAAAGGAGGCGGTGTTTCCGGTCGCAACTGCTGCTGTGGCCGCTGAGCATCCTCCCTGAATGTGGGCGCTTGCCACTCGTGATGAGAATGACGGTTCGTTGAACTGCCCCTCATAGTACTGCTTGCAGGCACCCCCTTAAATGATCTTGTCACTGCTTGTGGCAACTTGTTGCCAATGCGTTGCTTAGGTGGAGCCGCCACCGTAAGCTTGAAAGCGTTCCAGATGCGTCCATCATGAAGCTTGTAGGTCCATCGACCCACGCGCTCAACAATTTGCATTGGAGGTCCAAAAGCTTCTTCTCCCTTTTTTTACCTTCCCTGGTTTTCTGACACGCACCCATCCGTCGACCTGAAACTTCGGAATTTTCGCCCCTCGCCGTTGGTCTGTATATCACTTGCTGCTTTCCTGCCCTCTCTGGACTCGACACCGCAAGTGTTGTAACTTCTACAGTGGAGTTTGCCGGAACTGCGATGGTGACAGGCGGCCGATTATATAGAGCCGGTGGGGTGGCTTACGTCCATGCAGCACGAGTGCAGGAGACAATCCTGTCGTGGCATGAGGCATACAGCGATATACATGCAAGTAATACAAGATGGCAAAGTGGAGCGGTCACTTCTCCAGGGAAGCGCACTCTACAAACGACTTAAAAGTTCGATTAAAGCGTTCAACTTGTCCGTTGGCCTGTGGATTGTAGACGGAGACAAGGTGATGATTGATACCTCGTGTAGCTAGGAAGTTCTTAAAGTCTAAGGAGGTGAACTGGGTTCCGTTGTCCGAAATAATACTTTCCGGGTAGCCTTCCCGAGAAAAGATGAG